CAAAGAAAAAAAAAGTTGGATAAAGTAAATGACAAAATCGGTTTTGATGAACAGGGTTGCATAAACGCCTTTTATTGTAACTAGCAGCACTGCAAAACTTTTTCAAGTACATGCCTTCCCTCAAAAACTGAATTTCAACAATCAGAAACATAAAACTTGCTTGATGAGCACTAGGAATTGTATTAATAACGTTGGCATAAAACATATTAAAGATAATTAACCAAAAAATTAATCAAAGATAAACTTCTAGAACTAGCTGCCTGTCATAAATTAATGAGAAATCATATGGAAAAGGACAGGAACTTTCAGAAATTAAGGATACAAGCTTCATTCATTGTTGTTATAAACCAAGGATCGGAACTTTCATAAGTTACAAATTAAGGATTTGTACTTTTAGAAATTACTACAGAGAGATTAATTAAGCCTTTAAAATCAATTGAATTAATCCTTATAATCAATACAATTTAACCTTCTATAGTGATTTTGAAAAGGACACATCCTTGATTACTAAATTATAGTTTACATCCTTGATTTGTAATGAAAAAAGTTATATCCTTAATTAGTAAAAGGATGAAAATTCATGCCCCTTTCTATGGGACTTTTCATAAATTAATCCAAGATAAAGTCCTGGAACTAGCTATCATAAATTAATCAGAGAGAAACTTCTAAAACTTCACATCACATTGTGCCTGTATCATTATCTTCCTTATTTTCATTAAACTGATTCTTTCTCACTAAAGCTTTTTTAGTTTTTTATGGCATCTTTCTATAGAAACAAATAATATCAAAGGTTCTACTTTTGCAGCTCCTCCAGGATTGTGAGGCTGCCTGAGATGTCTAATGCAATTTAATGTTTAGAACAAAAGATCAGAATTCATATTGTCATTAAATTCTAAAAGTTTAGGATCAAAGATGAACAATTTCATTGCTGATTCAGGCATTGTCATCATGCATGAGAATTACAGTGGTCAAATAACTGTGTAATGAAATCACTTGGTAACCAAAAGAAATAACTTTAGTAATTAAAAGAAATAACTAGAGTAAGTACTTACTATGAAGTAAATAGGGGAGAAAACAGCAATTGTCCAATATCTTCCCCAATAAGCATCTGCTAAGACTGCTCCAATAAGAGGGGTAAGATAACAAGTGCCTTGCCATGTGGTGACATTTCTAGCAGCAGCTACATTTCCTTCATGTAGTTTGCTTGTCAGGTAAGTTACAAGATTAGTGGCAATGCCATAGTATGCCAAACGTTCACAGCATTCGGTACCTGTGTTTCACATTATGATTGTCAAGTAAAATAAAATTACAAGGACAAAACAGTTGAAGACACAAAGGATAATTTACCCAAAATGAAAGGGCAGGCTTTCCAATTTCCAGTATTCTCTTTGAGGACAGGCTTCCCTTTAATATCAACTGAGCCATCTCCAGTGTACACTCCACTGCCTTCACTCTGGAGAAAAAAAAAAAAAAAAGAAATCATCATAAGCGCTTCAAAGTTCAACTAACAGAAGATCAGAAGATTTTAGTCAAGAAACATGTATAATGAATTAAATGATATCCTGCAAACGAACCGCCTAAAAGATAAATTCCTTAGAAAAACGCAACATTACCAAGTCATATTTGCTTTCACATACAAACATTGAAGAAAATTCAATCACATACCAAAGCTGTTTTGAATACTAAATTGCAGGAATCTGGACAAAGAATACAGCTAAAACTTATGACCGTCAGTCAGCAATGAAGAAAATTACCCTGGCTGCAGCCTCCAGAGCAAATTATCACACTATTGCCTACAGAAACACAGATAGAACTCAGGCTTGCAGGATGCAGCCAAGCACAAGCTGGACCCAAGTCAGACCCGTAAGTTTCCTACTTTATAAAGAACCATTCATCAAACCCAACTAAGCTGTCCATTTTTTTGCGTTGATATATTGCAGCTT